ACAAGGTTTTGTACATTTGCTGTTATGTTAAACTTATATTAAAGTTTTTCTTCATTACCCATTCAAGCCGTCTCCAGCCATTAAAAGTTCTGTGTTGTTGTCCTTGATGGTCGTCATCGTGTGTGTGTGAGGACAGTCTGGAAAATACTTCGCCGACTGCACGTTTGCTGAGTGTGAGAGATTTTGAGGTAGTTCTCGACCTTCTTATCTATGCATTATTAAGAATAGTTGTATGAACGTTCTGCTTTATAAGGTGGATATATATTCATTTTATGGATCAGCTGGGAAACGTTTAGATGAGGGAATGAGTAAACATTCCCTAAAACTCCATCCATGGATTCCTACAAGATATACGGGAACTTTGGCTACTCGTGGTGAATATATTAACTTATGGATCAGCTGGGAAACTTTAAAAGTTACCTGACTGGAACTTTTCTGAGAATTTTATACACTTATTATATCAAAGAGTCAATGTACGGTTGTGCATGTTCCCAATGTTTTAGAGCAGTTCCACACTAACAGGTTAGAGTGTAGTGATTTTGCTTATTATTTTTTACTTTCAATGATGATTCTAATGACATCATTTAACAACTTGAAAAATAAATCTCAATGCTGATTTTCAAGCACACTTTATAAAAAATGATGTTCCAGGTCCCGTGCTGTTATTGGAACTATTTCTTCTATCGTCTGTCATACTAGGTCTCGTGACTCTGATTACACACTAGCCCCTGACACTACAATTTCTATTGTAGCAAGCTTCTGTGAAAGATAGCTAGGTCAATCTTAGAACAAACTATGATAAAACTTCAAATATCTGCTATTTTACGTGAGCATTTAAGGAAATCAAAGACAAAAGAGTCCGCTGGAGTTACCTCAGAATATTTGACGGGTGAATGGTCGGCTGCGATTCCAGTTTGGTAATATTTCTCTTGAAAACAGTTGTTTTCGAGATGTTGCTTGAGAATATTCGATTGTGAGCTTTAGATCTTTGTTTATTCTCTTGTTAGTAGTACTGGGAGATAATATCTATCTTCCGGATCGGGAGGTACTGTATGGGAAGACACTTTTTGTGAAATGTTGTATATTTTGTCTCTACATCATTTAACAGTATTGCTATATGAATATTCTTCCTCGCAAAGCGCTGTGACTTATTCCTCCAACGATAAGTCTGTTAGTGGCGACAACTTAAATGGGAGTAATTCGCCTCCAACCAAATATATGTGGTAAACGTACCACCTGTGGCAACAAGGCTTTTATCTGCAGAGACACTTTACTAACTAACATATGCAAATTGTTCTAATAAAGTGAAATTAACATTCTATAATTTATTGATCCAGTTTATAAAATTTTCTTCAAAATTAACAGTTTAACTTCCATTAACTTTAACAATGTGGTAAGCATTTCAAAGGAAATTACTCAAATATTCGAGTCAATGTACATGGAAAGTAATTAACTATAATAATAATTCTAAATTTTACACATCGAATAAATTTATTTTTTTAATAACGATTGTTTCAGAGTGCATTTTTCGTTACTCGATTGATCACAAATATCCTAACAGAATTGTTGGTGAATAGACGCAATAACTCTCACTCTGCAAGTCAATAACAGACACTAAACCCATTGCTTCACTGGATAACTCACATAATCCTTCTTATATCATTACTCGTTTTCTAGTTACTGTACACAACTTCTAGATTTTTTTACTCTTACAATTTCATGACACGCTCTCTCTAGCAACAAACATCTAAGTTAAACTATTTAAAATACAGCTCAAAACAGTTTGTTTGTAGTTAAGCACAAAGCTACATAAAGGGCTATATGCCCACCACGGGTAGCGAAACCCGGATTCCAGCGTCGTAAGTCCACAGACATACGCTGGGCCACTGGGGGCGCTCGAAACACTACTGCATTTTGATAACTACGTATGAATTATAACCTAAAGCAACATTTTAACGTCTATAACTTTGCTTTTTCCTTTGCTTATTTATAACAACAAATCCATTTATAATATATATACTTTTCCCTCATAAATTTGAATATAGGTATGGACGTGTTCCTGTCGTTGTAGCAGGTCATTTACTGTGTGCTGTTGCTGGAATAGCCACGAATTTTGTGTACAACTTTACTGGCTTTCTCTTGACTCGTTTTATGATGGGCTTTGTGATGATTTCTCAGAGTATGACAGCTTATGTTTTAGGTATGTAATAAGTAAGCTTATATTTGATAATACGTTCTTTATGAAAGTTCTCATATCGTACTATATATATATATATATA